TCCCCCCTCTCTCCCTCCCACGACAGGCATTTTTAGTAAATAGCAAACATTTTCTGTATGTGAAATGTACTCATACATTTAAGACCCCCCCCCCACTCCCCTATAAAAATGAAACGAGTGCGGTGCGAGTGCGTTGCGAGTGCAGTGCGGGTGCGAGTGCGGGTGCGAGTGCGGGTGCGAGTGCGGGTGCGAGTGCGTGGCGAATGCCCTGCGAGTGCGGCGGGGTCGTCCCGCCTTTTGCGTCATCGCCCTCGTCCTCATCCTCCCCCCTCCCCTACCCCGCCCTTCTCCGGGCGCTACCCGTGCAAGCCCGTGTAGTACCCGTACCCTGGGTAAGATGCCCTATGATGGCCACCTTAAGAATGGGCCTGCCCATTGATGGCCACCCCTTTTTCTTGTAATGTAGACAACGATGTGAAGTAGTTTGGCTTATTATGCCCAAGTAGGGACCTTACAGTCAGTGGCCCATATTTCGGACATGAGCCCTAATTTCGGACAAAATTGAATCTTTGGCTTTAGGCTACCGTAAATCCGATAGTTTTTCACCAATTTCAACTTCCGGGACGTCAAATGAAAGGTGAAAAAGTCCTCTTTAACATACGACTGGTGCGATCCCAATCCGACTTTTCCCCATCGAATGGCACGCGCTTAAAGTTCAAAAACCGCTCGTGAAATATTTGCGACAAAAATCTTTGTTCAACTTCTCCTGGTGAGCACTGAGGTGCCGTGTAAGATAGAAGTCTAGTTTTTGGATATAGTATACTATATGAGCCTACTCCATATTTCGGATTGGTGATGCGGACCGTCGTTTGGTTTCTGTGGAAAAAATACGAAGAGGCCCCAATTTCGGACACTTTTGAATCGGCCTTCCGTTCCTTCATAAGGTACCAATCAAAGTTCTATCGATAGGTAAACACATCATTTGACGACTCACAAGGCCAAAATTTCGCCGGTTTCCCTCTATCTCTTATAGTTTTTGAGATATAGCGTAATTTTAAGTCTTTTTAAAACTTTTGCGTTTTTTAAAGAATTTTAGACGCAAGCATTGTTGAAAACGCCTCTTAAAACCCTATTTCTGAACCAAAAATGTCGTACGAGGGCTTGTTTTCATCGGAAGGACCCGCCCTACCCGTATGTATCTCTAAAACTGTTCTCCGAGCCAGTACATGAGCGGCAAACGGTTTTGTCCGAAATTAGGAACAGTTTGTCCGAAATTAAGAACCTTCTGTTCCTAATTTTGGATAAAACATTTCGGGCTCTTGCAGACAAACAAATTCAGGTATAAAACTTTGCACTACGGTAAAAGGTAGGGCCAAGGGTCTAGTTTCTTCATTCCCGCGCCGAATTTCGTATCTCTAATAAGTCAGGAGTTATCAGGAAAATACGACGAATTTCGTCCGAAATATGGGCCACTGACTGTACTAGAACTAACACTACTTTAAGGCCAAGATTCTGAAGTGACCAGATTGGCTGGAAATCGAGAAAAGTGGCCCTACCTTACCCTAAATACCCTAATCATTAATTTAATTTCAAAATACATTTAAACTTCTCTCCTACGACAAGTTTAATTTGTCACTCTTTCATTCATTTTTATCAGATCTCTCCGAGGCATTTTAAGGATCACGAGTCGCTGAATTATATTTAATTGAATGTTCTATAGTGTATCGTATCATTGTGTTTAATTTCAAAGTTCCCACCATTTCATTGGATTTCATTTGACATAATATGACTCCAGACAAAGCTATTCAATGTAAGAAAATGATATATCTTGTTCTGATTTCGATGGGCGTATGTGCGATGTTGGCTATAATATTGTTCGGTCAACTGCAAGTCTATGGCAATTGAGAAAAGAAGTTGTCTGTTTATAATCATTTTGACATATCCTATTGAAAGATTAGGTGACTTCTAATTATTCTACAAGTAAACACCATAACATTTAGTT